TTGGTGTAGGGTTGGGCCCCCGGTGTGGTGGGCAGCACCGAGCCCCCGGGGCGGGGGTCGAGCCTGGCTGGGGTGGGGGGCATGTGTAGGGGGTCTTTGAGCTTGTTTGGGGGGCCGTGTGTCCCGTCACCCCCCAGAGGAGACGGTTGTGTGTCTGGAGGGATAACAGCAATTGGGGATGGGGGCTGGAGAGCAGGGTCTCCTCCCGGTGCGGGGGGGAGTCCTGCGGTGCGAGGGGGATGCTCCCAGGAGGCCCACGCTCGCCTTGGCTTTGGCTGGGAAGAGAAATGGGAGTCTTCCAGCCTGTCTTCAGGAGAAAACGAAGGAAACTGAAATTTATGGGTTTATTCCCCAGGGTGAGGAAGAACTGGGAGGGAGGGGAGGTGTCTGTGTGTGTTGGGGTCCTGGGCGCGTGGGTCACCGGGGGTGTTTTGCGGCCCCCCGGGAAGTAGAGGCTTGGCGTGGAAGGGCGGATCAGCCCCCCGGGGTGGGAAGTGCCACCATGTTGTTGCTGAGCCTCCGGCAGACCTAACGAGTTTGTGGCCTCTTCCCGTCGGTTTGTTGACCCGGCAGAGGGGGGGAATTCGGCAGCCCCCCCATGCACCAGAGATTGCAGTGTGTGCTTAATATATAGCCTTTTGGAATCGGTGGTGGTTGGGGGTTTTTTTTAAAAGAAACCTTTCTAAAACCCTGTGCCTCTGGATTGTAGCAACTGTAAATATTTGTTTGGAGGGAGGTGACTGAGGGAGAACTCTTTGTTTCAGTTGTTTGTTCTGTGGCGATCCTTTTTCTTTACCTGGGGGGGGTGCAACCACTGCCACTGCCACATCTGGGGGAAGAGTGAGGGGTATCAGCTCCACGCTTTTGAAGAGATTGGCCCTTTTCCCCAGAGGTGGACAAGCCCGAAGCGTCTCTGAGCATCCGTTGGCAGGGACAGAGGCCAGGCTGGTGGCCTCTCCAGCATCCGAGGCTTCACCACGCAGTCCATCTCTCTGTGGCTATCGGGGGTGATCGCTGCTTGTGTAACACAGGTACCTGTTCCAACAGGAGCCGCACTGAAACATTTTTTCTCCTCCCCAATCCTCTTGCCGTTTGTGTTATGTATTACCAACCGACTGTCAGAAGGTAATAACTTTGTGCGTGCAGATCTGGACTTGTTAGCTGCAGAAAATGGCTTTAAACCCCACTAGGGCGGTAGGTTAGGGGTGCATTTGTGAGTCCTATTGAATCTGGTAATGCAAATGTGCTTTAGGGGAGAGTGGCTGTGCTTTGTTTTAACCTAAAGTAAAATCCAGCCTTGGGAAGGTGGCTCAGCTTTTCTGTGACAAATGGCAAAGCAGGACCAAATGAGACTCATTGCACGTCCGCTCTCAGACTTTCACTCTGCATTTTATATACAGCTGGTGTTTATTTAAAATAAATAAATAAATAAACAGGAAAGGGCCAATTGACTGTGCGTATCTCCTGGAAACTCAGCCGACTATCAGTGGCTTTGATATTGGGCTCTGTAGGACTGGCTATTGTTTCCGCTCAGTAAGTGCTGTACGTTTTTGTTCACGCTGTCCAGTAAAAGGTGTGAGCTCAGCCTGGCTTCAAGGGCGTGAGGGAGCTGCATTTGTGGAGCT